ATTGTAAATAAAAAATAAAATATAAATATATATAAACTACAACTATATAAATAATGTAATTTACAACAAAATAAAAAAATGCTTTTACTTGAAATTCTTCACGTTTACTACAAAACAAAAAACAAAATATACATAAATATAAAAGAAAATTGAAAAACGTAATAAAATAAACATATATATATGAAAAATTTTAAAGTTCACCAAATGTAACCTAGAAAAAAAAAAGTTTATGTTGAGGTCATATACGGACCGGCATCGATCCGTATATACCTATACGGACCGAGATCGGTCCGTATATATCATTTAAAGGGTAAAAACAATAAAAAAATAATTTAATTCGATATTCCTTACATAATTTAATGATATTGAATTATTTTCATATAATTTATGATATTTATCATATAAAATGCTAGAAATTTTTTTAAATTTAGTATAAATATATAAGTCTCCAATATCTATTACAAATATAAAGTCAGTACAAATATTTAATTGAAATATGAAAAACCTAAATATCTCGGGGTGTCCTAAGGGTGACTGTCCCATTGGTATCCGTTGGGGTCATCCCTAAATACTGGTAGAGTTGCTGCATCTGTGTCGCAAGGGTCGATTGTTGCTGCCATAGGCTATCATTATCTGCCAAAACATTAAACACTTGTTGTCGAAGGTTTTGATTATCTGCCTTCAATGATTCAACAGTCTGCTCTAATTCGATAACCCTATTAGACTGTCCGATAATGGGTGGCCTGAATGGTTCTCGTCTAGATGTGCTCACACCTATATCTTGTGGATGTGTGTGTATATCCAAACCTTTCAGCCATCCTTTCTTGACCCCACCAGTTGCCCTAAGTAATATCTCAACATGAGGTATTGTAGGGTCAAATCCTTCTTCCTCTTGTCTAGTAGTGTAATATCCCAAATTTTTGGGAATATTTAAGTGTAAGTTAGGGACTTGATTGTGAGAAAAGATTGTTTTGGGGCCTAATGTGAATATTTCAAAAGTTGAGGGACTTAAAAGTGGAAGAGTTTTGGATAAGGATCAACTTCTTTTCTTTTTCTTTTTCTTCTTTCTTTTCTTCTTCCAGCCCGTGTGTTCTGCTCTTCTTCTTGTCTTCCCGCTGCAGCCACCCGAAGAGAAAAAAAAGAGAACCCAGCCATGCGTTTGAGAAACCGGTGAGATAAGCTTGGATTTCTCCTTCTTTCCTTGCTCTAGAACACACCTAGAACCCAGAAATTTCCCCCCTGCTGGAAAAGTCGGATCTGCCCTGCTCTGCTTTGTCCTTCCGTCGGCTGCTCTTGATTGTGGGTGATTTCTAGGCATTTTTTTTGGTAAGAACAGCCCCTAATTCCTTTGTTCTTACTTGAATTGGCTTGGGTTAACTTTGATTGCTCTTATTTCCTTTAATTTTGGGTAGTTCCGTGAGCTTCCCCCTGCAGATCCCATCGGCCTTCCCCAATCTGCACTCCAGTTTTGCTTGCTGGATTTATGGTATGTGGCAACTTCTCTAAGTCCTAATTCACCCCTTTAATTGTTGAATTTTGTCCATGGATTGGTTGCCCTTGTGATGTCCGAAAGTTTGCAGAAATTGGGGATGAATTTTGATAGCTTAAGCTATGTTTTTAAGCTTGGTTTAAGTGTAAATTAGCTTGATTAGTTGTTGTGATTTTTGGAGAAAATCCCGTGAGATTAGCTAGTGTTTTGGCCAATTTGTGGAAGTGGAGTTACTGTTCACGTCGGGTCACTGTTCACCAGCACTGTTCACCGGTTACTGTTCACACCCCGAGGGCCAACAATTAACAGGGATTTAAGTGATTAGTTTGTGATATGAGAATGATTTTGGAGATATTTGATCATGTGGAGATTTATAGAAATAGCATTGTGATTAGGAATGATCCTAATGATGATTTCAACTTGAATTTGTGATAGTC